CCAAAGAGGCTCGTCAATTGATTCCGCAGTAATGGTACATTTTCTGGACTCAGCCTCCAGCCTAAATAAGCGAATTAAACACCTACTTGGAATGAAACTATGCACACAAGGGGGTCATCACTGGAAAACGGCAATAAGGATCACCAGGCTTCGGACACGGGAAAGGCTTTCCCACATTGGTATTCGCAAACCTGTCCCTGACGAAAGACCGACTGGCGGTTGGAACCTAAACACTTTTAGATAGTGTAAGTGATACAGAGGAAAACACCTGCGATGGCCGGGAATCGAACCCGGGTCAACTGCTTGGAAGGCAGCTATGCTCACCACTATACCACCATCGCTTGCTTATGTTCAAGGATTGGATGTGAAAAACAAGACCTATCTAAAGAACAGATCAATTTGGAATTGCGCGGGGAGACCCCAATGGATTCTAGTCTATCGCCCTGACCACTCGCCCTCGACAACCTTCGAGTTCAGGTTCAGGTTCATGGCTCCCTGGCAAAACAGCAGTCGTCATCGATGGAGGTTTTGAGCCCTCATGAAGACAAGTTCGCTGCAGCCAAAGCGGCTCGTCAATTGATTCAGCGTTAATGGTACATTTTTTGGACTCAGCCTCCAGGCTAAATAAGCGAATGAAATACCTACTTGGAATGAAACTATGCACAAAAGGGGGTCATCACTGGAAAACGGCAATAAGGATCACCAGGCTTCGGACACGGGAAAGGCTTTTCCCCATTGGTATTCGCAAACCTGTCCCTGACGAAAGACCGACTGGCGGTTTGAACCTAAACACTTTAAGATAGTGTAAGTGATACAGAGTAAAACATCTGCGATGGCCAGGAATCGAACCCGGGTCAACTGCTTGGAAGGCAGCTATGCTCACCACTATACCACCATCGCTTGCTTATGTTCAACCTTTGGATGTGAAAAGCGAGACCTATCTAAAGAACAGACCAATTTGGAATTGCGCGGGGAGACCCCAATGGATTCTAGTCTATCGCCCTGACCACTCGCCCACGACAACCTTCGAGTTCAGGTTCAGGTTCATGGCTCCCTGGCAAAAC